GTACCCATTGCCAATAAAGTGAATAATAAATAAAAAAGTAGTATAAACTCATTTTCTTTTTTTTAGTTAATGTTTATAAACTTTTAGGGACAAGAAAAGAAGTACTTTACGCGTGTGACGGCCTCGAAAGGTGAGCAAGCGACAGAGAAGGTCGTGAGGGACGCGCGCGGTGAGAACGACGTTGTACAAAGGGGGGCGGAGGCGCGCCAGTGGCGGCGGAGTGGGGGGCAGACGACCTACGGCCGGTACGTCCTTGGCTCCGTCGTCGTCGTCGCCGACGTCGTCTACCAGTAGTCTGGTCGAGTCGCCCCGAGGCAGGCCGCGGCCAGACGCAGGCGGCTGCAGGTGTCTGGTGTCAGAGCAGCGCTCGGTGCAATTAATTTGGAAGTCGCCCCGGTCCAGGGTCGGACTGGCTGTGTTAGTAGACCCCGACCGTTCAGACTAATCTTTTTCTTTTTCCTCCTTTTTTATCGTCTCTTTAAAGAGTCAAAATAAAATGAAGAGAAGAAGAAGATAAATGAAGTGTGTTGGGAATTGGGAAGAGAATGAGAAGAAGTAATTGTTAAAAAATGATTAAATGAGAAACGTGTTTTAAAGTTTGATCACTTAAATTATTTATCTGGTAATTTTTGATTTTTAATAGTTGCATAAACAACTTTTAAATTAAGATAAGAAATAATAAATAAATAAACTGCAATAACATCTTTGTGAACATTTTATATTTCATTTGATTTCAATTAATGAATCATTAATAAAATTCGTTTAATAAAAGTTAAAATCAACAAAATTTTATCTTTTAACGCCAAATGTACTTTAATTTTAATATCATCGAAGTTATTTATTAAAATTTATTTCTCTCTCTAAAATACGGTTTATTATAAGATTTAAAATTAACTTTATAATAGTTTTAATCTGGTTCTTTATAAATATTATCTCGATATAAAATCGGCACGTGGAGTTTATCGCATTTTTTTGCATACTAATAGATGTGTGCGCCGTTCTTTATACCTGCATACTTAGACCTCTCTAATTTGCATACAACTAACATTTGTTATTGAAAGTTGCGACCTGAATATTTATAACAAAAAAAAAATCTCAACGTAAAACTGTACAATTTCCGTGTTATTATTATTATCATCGTTAGCAATTAAAGGAAGTTCTTAAAAGATAATAAGATTTAAAAAAATTACAAAAAACTAATCTCTGTTACACACTAGTCATTTATCTATCTAGTACGTTCTAAAAAAACATTGATAACAACACTTCTGTATGAATTAGTTTTTGCTGCCGCATCATCTTACGTAGGCATTTCTTTGAAGGCCAAATTCCGACATAATAATGTTAAGGAGTCATCATAAATAATAATTTAACCCTTTAATGAACTTATTTGATTATTGATTTGAATTGAATTGATAACGGTTTCTTAAACTTTAATTTATATGAACACAACATTTGTATATTTTGCATTGAATTAAAATTAGAACTAACACTAGAACATTTGGGTTTAGCCGTGCGTCTAAAGACTTCCAAACGTTTATCATAACATAGTGCATGGACTATCTTACCTTTCGTTAGACTGCACATCTAAACTGACTCCTATCATATATCTGGACTCCATAATTGCTGGTGACATGAAATTAGGAAGAACCAAAGCATGCAGCGAAACAAGTTCCATACTGGCTCCTCTATCCATGGAACCAGCCGTGAAGAGATGCAGATGCAGCAAACCACGGTAGCATTAAAATGTATTCTTTAGTGGTAAGATACTTCACATTACAAGACGGCTTGAGAAACTATTTACTGAATAACTATGAAGACGCTAAAGAGGTCTCAAACGATTTATTTACAAACATAAAAAACAAACTTGCCGAAATGGCTTGAAATTGGAAAACGGCCTCAGTTACTTCGCTGATAACGCCAATGTGAACTTTGGTAGTTTTAATTCAGTCTTCTCACGTTTGAAAAATGGGAATCCACGTATACTTGAAGTTAGATGTTCGGCGCACATAGTTCACAATTGCCACTGGTCAAATGAACTTTGACATCGAAAGCTTGGTAACAAAAACTTTCTCGTATCTTTCAAGTCACACCAGGAGAAAGGTGAGCCAAAGGAAACGATAGAACGACTCTACAAAAATCTGACGGCTGTGAAAACATACTTCATAAATGAACCTGACTGCCCAGTACATATTCTCAAATATTTCCAGACGACTATTGCCGCAGAATCTGGTTCGGGTACCGAAAATACCAACGAAGATGTGTTGGATGCAGAAATATATTTGGCGTTTTACCACCATGTCTTGACAATTTTTCAAAAAGCTGTATTCAACTTGAAGGTTGAACACACCAACACGCTAATATGCAGTGTGTACGGAATTATGGACCGTTTAAGGCAAAAACTGAGGCAACGTCTTGAAGATGCTTTCTGTGGTATGAATGTGCAGCAATCACTTCGAAAACTACCTAATCCTGAAGCAGAATATAAATCTATATTTCTCACTTGGTACAGAAACGCAATCAAGTATCTTTGAATCAAGATTTGACTTTAACGAAAACACTAATAGTTTTTACTTGTTGCAAAAATTGACACTGAAGAATCCAATCCAGTACGAAGACTTGGTTAGAACTGTGTCTCGGCTAAATATAAATGTCGACGTACATGCATTATATGAGGAGTATTTTGCGCTCAAACCAATTAAATCTAAAGTAATTGCGGAAAAGGAGTGCAATGAACCGATACCTGGTCCAAAGTCGATAGGCATTGTAAAGTCAACAACAGATGAAATTAATGAAAACCATTTTTTTGTCAAACTGAAGTTTGTGTTTTCGATCTCTGTCTCCAATGCACAGGCTGAAAGAATCTTTTGTTTGTGCGAAAATACATGGACCAAGAATCGAAACAGATCAGATATACAAAGTGTGAAGGCAGAATTACAAATAAAAACCAACTTTAATCTGTCATGCAAAGACATTTATAAATATATTTTAGAAAACGATGAAGCTCTTAAAGCAGCTAAAACCAACCAGAAATAGGTATAAGTAGGTAATTCTCAAAAGTAAGTAATTTGTTTATACAAAAATTAATGTAGCTTATGTTACATAAGTGTACATAAGTATATAAGTACTACCACTGTACGTTTAATGTTTTTTAGTAATACATATAATATCAAAACATAAATAAGTGCAGTTTTCTTATGTAAACTGTATTTTGATCGATATTGTTAGTTCTAGTACTCTAAACTCTATTGATCTAAAAGTAGAACTAACTACTACAGGACGTAATGATGTGGATAGCTGTTCGAATGTATTAAAATTATTCATTCAAACAAATTTTTCATGTAACTTTTGGCGATATAGCACACTCCTTCCCAGTATTAATCTACTTCTATTAGATTAGATTTGATTCAGAATCAATTTTGTTTTAATTTTATTTATTAAGTACAAAGTAAAACAACGTTTGAATGTATCTTTTTATAAAAACTTCTTCTATACAAGTTATTGTAAAGCTTCGGGAGAGTTTTGGATGGTGGTCCAAACAGTTCTTGCGGTTAACGCTTATGTTCAGTTCGCGGTTTCGGTTACTGGCAGAACGAACTTTACGCATTGGCGGTTCGTAGGAATTCGAATTTCGTGACGTCAAAGAGCTAATCTCCGTGAACTCAGATCTGACGAAAAAAGAAATTGCGTTTAAAACGTAGCGTGAAACGAAAATACATAAATTTACCGTTTCGGCTGCTATCTTGTTTTTGAAATGTAATAAGACGTGATTTAATCGTTTAATTTTTCGGATAATAACGCGGATATAGATTATGTCAACAATTTATGGCGCTATAAATAAGTTTCCCGTGCAAACAACGCCGCGGAAATATTTACTTTACTGTGCCAAATAAGATAAATACAACGTCCCCGGTGGTTAAATGAGTGAATATAATTCTTTCTTTTTCTTTACTTGTTCAGACTATTTTTTATAATTAATTAACAAGCAGGTGCTAAGAATTTAAAAAGTAAATATTTTATATGTACTTATTGAAATTATCCTGTTTAAAATTAAGGAGAATTTCCCTTTTTAATTTAATACACTTGTAACCTTCATTTTTATTTATTTATTTATGTTTTATAAAATGTCTTTTAAATGTAATGATCGGAAAAATATTGTTCCTTTTAAGCAAAGAGTGAAGGTCAGCGAAATTGTATAAATACTTCTTCAGTGAACTGGTCGGCGCAGTCATAACAACATGCGTTTTGCAAGCTCATCTTTCATGCATTTTACTTGGTCGGGTTTCATATTATTTTAATACATCTCTATTTAATACAAAATACCATTCAACTTAAGATTCTTTAATATTTAATTAAAAAAAAGTTGTCGAAGAGCTTACACACTGTTAATATTAAATCTGGTACGATTTGATAGTTTTAATAAGTATCATGTTCATCAATGTTCAACCTAATGTTATGTTTTTGGAGAATATTTTTACATTAAGATATTCACTGTTAGAAGTTGTAATAAGAAATTAAATTTCATTCAATAAAATCTTTTCAAATTTATGAAAAAGTTCTTAAAATCTCATTTCTTCCCAATCTTTAATTATTAATAACTATTTGAGTACTAATTACTTTAGTTGTTGAATGTGCCAGAATCAAATTGTAATAAAAAGATTATCATTTCGGATAAATCACTTAAATATTGAAAAATTCTTATAGATAATTCTTGGTGCCATATCTAATTTATATTTTAAACAATTCACGTACTTACCAACATATAAATTTAGTTGGATAAAATGATATAAATTTACTTACTGCTTCATTTATGATTAAAGAAACATTTTCACATATAGGAGATTAATAATGCAACAAGATAAATCTCATAAAACAGTTTATAACCACCACCCCATAAAACCAACTTTCTACATACTACTAAAACTCCCCCAAAATTAACGGTAGTAACAAGTAGTTATACTACCTATCAATATAAACAATTGTCGACATCGTCGTCTTCGTACCTTTTTGTTCAGAGTAATTTTCTGTCGCATCGCTGAGACGCACTTTCGAACGGCGCGCTTCACCAGGCCGCCGGCGCACGACAAACTGCTCGAGACGGCGTAGTCGACCGTCATATAAAATATCTTTCACGTATTTTCACGGAGTTTCGCGGGATTCGATCTGATCGCGTCGCCGCCGCTCTGTGCCTTTCGCGTCGACGTTTGAGCGTAGACTGAACTGAACCTCGAACGACGACGACGACGACGGCTTGAATCGGCGGAGCGCCTGAGCGTGCGGTGAGCTGTCGTCCCCGTCTAGACTCGGTTCCCCCACGTCCCCCTCTCCGTCCCGACGCCGCCGCCGCCACCACTACTACCATCAAACGGACCTCGGTCCTGGCCCCGTGATAACATACACGCACACAAACGCGACGGCGCGTGTGTATGTTGTGTGCCTTGTCGTCGTCGTTGTAGAAGGCGTAATCCCCATATGGCCCACTTTATAACCGAGTAGAGGACTGCGCGTCGCGACGCTGAATCAAAAGTACATGTGCGTAACATGTACAATGTTTGGATGCAGACGGTTTGTTTTATTTTGGTTTTGGACACTATAGATGGAGACAATAGTTCCAGACAATACCCTTTTAGTTCAGAGGGTTTCACAATGGAAACATCAACACAATTTTTTTGAATGTTGTTCGGGATGAATTCCGAAACTAGTCAAAATCATTTTTTGTTAGGTCGGATGTGATTCTAAACAGTAGACGTGATTTTATGAATGTTTTATACATGTTGTCCGGAAATGATGTGTACAGGGTGTTCAAATTTTGTGTTATTATAGGCCAGTGGTTCTCAAACTTATTATGGCTACGCACCCCTTCTTGAGCCAAAACGTGATCGTGGACCCCCTAGTCAGTGCCGTGCTACTAAAACTGTTTTTACCGGAATGCAGTGGTCGTAAAAAGTGAGCTGGCTAGAAAGTTGATGACCTCTCACTGACTTGTGACGTAAAATAAATACATATAAAAACATTTTGATATTTAAAACAACATTAAAAAAACATATTCCTGTTTTAAAGATAACATTTTTTAATGTGATGGGTGAGCCTGATGAGTTGTGATCAAATTGTTTATGTTTGGCTCTATATTTGTAAGCAATAACCGCAAGTCACTACGAGCACTAACATCAAGTCGGTTTCTTTTTTTCGTAATCAGGTTCATAACCGCACTAAATCTACGTTCCATTAATTACGAAGACGAAAAATCTATTAAAAACTTTTCCGCAGTGTCCTATACTTCGGGATATAAAGTTGGTATCTGTTTTTGTAACCAACATTTTTCATATCCGTCAACAAACATTGGTTTTAATTCTTCGTTTGTACTTAGCTCGATAAGTTGCTAATGAATAAACACAGAGCTAGTTGATTTGTATGTAAAAGGGTCCAACGCCCAATCGGTAATAACCAAATGAAGAATGTCTTCAAATCTTTTTTTGAAATCTAAGTGAAGTGCCCCCAAGTGCTGACAATATACAAGCAAATCAACATCACGATTTCAAAGAATTCTAAAACGTAATCAATAAGTGAGTAAAATCTATTCAAACATGCACTTCTAGACAACCAACGTACTTCTGTGTTCAGTAGCAAACGATTGTAACCTTCATCATGCTCCAGGCAAAGTTGAGCAAATAATCTCGCATTCTTTTTGATTTTATTAACTGCTCTAATCATATAATTCAGAGGGCGATGTAAGATTTTTTGCTACTAAATGTTGTCGATGAATGACACAATGTACTGTTAATACATTCGGTACTGCTTGTTTTAAATATGCCAGAAAACCTCGATGGCGTCCTACCATTGCCGGAGGACCATCAGTAGCAACGCAGATGATATTACACAAAGGAATAGCTTTTGCTTCAAAAAAATATTTAATTCCTTAAATATAACTTCATCTTTTGTATCAGTTTCCAAACATTTCACAAATCATAATTCTTGAAATATTTTTTTGCCCTTTACAAATCTTACATACGCATAGTATAGCGTATAATACTATACGCTATACTTACAAATTTAGTTCTTAATACACTTCACAGACTTACATATACTACAACGACTGACTACTGTTCTTACTTTTTGCGGACCCCCCAACGCTAGCTACGAACCCCCGAATTAATTTTATTTTGCTACGGACCCCAGGACAAAAAAATTGAAAAAGAAACACCAAATTGTTTAAAACATAATTTCCATGGCTTCTTCGCGAATTGTTCAACCAGATTATTAATAAAACCATCAAAGTTCTCAAAAATATGCTTCCTATACACACTCATCATGGCAAGACGACATTCTGCCATAGTGCTTCTAAGCCAGGTTTTATTGTCCTTAAGCTGTTAAAAGATCGTTCAACAGTATATGTCGTGCAGGGTAAAGTGACCAAAATTATAAAGGCTTTTCTGGTTCCAGGGAAAAAAATGTCGGCATCTTTTATGACATCCACAACACTTAATTCTTTTGAGTCAGGTTTAACTTGCCATAGTTTTTTCCATAGTTCGATTTCGTTGTTGATATTTGATAAATTGTAAAATTGGGAAAAGACTTCACCAGCTTCTACGAGGTCTTCAAGGGACATGTCTAACATTTGAGTTGGGTGTAATTTAGATAAGGAAACTGACGGGGTGTTTTCTTCAGAAAAGCGAACTTCAAAAGAATTAATAATCGAGTCTAAGTATGGTATTATTAAAGACCTCCGCCAGAATTCTGAGGGGCTTGCTGCTGGGTGGTTGTTCTGATGTTGTTGTCTCTCAACAATACGCGACACGGACTTCATGTCTTCTCCCAGTCCAAGTTTTTCTGCAACGATAGTAGTCCCTAATAATTCCATTTGTGGCGTTTTCTGGACCGTTACGGTGGTTTTCTATAAATTCCAAAAGGCCGCTAATGTGCTGGGATGCCTTAACTGCATTCAAAGCTACGGATTGGAGCACGTTTACCACAGGTTCCATCATAGCCGAGTATTTGGCTGTCAAAATAAAGCTGAGAATAAACGAAGCTCTAGAAGCTGCTGCATGGAGCTGATAAGTAATTTTTCTAGTCGCATTATTCATTCTTATTTTCTTCCCGTGACGAGGTTTCAAAGGCCTCCATTATAATAGGAAAATTCTCATTAAAAAGACTAATATTTTTGTGTTTCTCTTATCTTTGGTATCAATTTGCGTCCCAAAACTGATTTTTGAAAAAATTGTAATAATATCTTTCATGGTACCTTCCTTTGATGAAGGAACAAAGCTTTTTTTATATTTTCTTCTATTTTCTTTTGTAAAACTGATAACTGATAATAGTATCTGACAAACGCAATTATTTGACACATTTTGGTTAAAACCACGTTGAAACCCACCCAGCCGTTTTCGACATAACGGCGTCTAACTAAATCGCGATTTTCTGCGATACTATATGGAATATCGTAAAAATAAAATATGCCCCTTATTAAGAACACATCAGATTACCACCTGTTCAAAATTGAAATTCGTTCAAGTCGTTGGTGTTTGCGGAAGTGAAGCTAATAACGCATCTCGTAAGTATGATTTTCTTTAATTGTGCGTCATCGAAACGACGAAGCATACACTGAGAGAAATAGATTATACGAAGCGTATTATAGAAAAAATATTATACATGCCGCAATTCATTGTATACATGCAGCAATTCATTGTATTATATTCATTATATTTATTGTACTGAATACAATCTCGTCTCGCTGTCACTATTCGTAGTAAACGTATTATACCTTATAGTATATTTTTAGTGCATAGTACAATCTATTTCTCTCACAATCAGTGTAGCTTTTGCGTAAATTTGGAATTTCCGAGTCGCGTTATCTGATGTCATTGTGTTGTTGTTTCTTGGTTTTACGTTTGGTTAGAAAAGAAAGAAAACTTTAGGAGCTTTTTTCTAACACTTTAGTTGTGTAAAACAATCCAAATGACTACAGCCAGGGATGAAGTAAATATTATTAAAAAATGATCCATCTTTATTTTTCTCCGAGTTAAATAAACTAATTAATTAAATACAATCGATTTTCAAAGTTGTTGATGCATAGATCATCTGTATGACCTCTTTGAATAGTGCCGTCGTCTATTCGACGAAGCATAGCCATTTCGTATAAAATATAAGCATAACCTTCAAGAGTTAAAAAAACTACAGTTATCAATTGTGTAGGTATTTAACGTTTAGCATGATGAGATAGTATTCGAGCAAGGTGCGTTGACAAAACATACTGTATATACTGTATACAGCCAATACTCAACGGACCTTGGTATTCGAGGTTTGATTATTAATTTAAAAATATGAAATTAATCACTAGGTGAAATTAATAAAATTGTAAAAGAACACGAACTTCAATATAATCCACAAAAATACAACCTCGCAAATAACGTCGTAAATAGTGATGAAACGTATAAAAATGTTAACAAAAATATTGATTTAAAAACCAGAATAAGGGTGGAATGGAGCAAAATATAAATTATTAATTGGTGGCTTGAATAGACGACATTGCTTAGACGATTAGAAGCGGTTATAATGCATTCTCCTGGGCCTAATCGATACTATTATAGACTTATCTCTATCATTACCAAAACTTACGATATCGCTTTTTGGTGTATTTTGTTCTATTTGCTATGTTAAGACATAACATTATATTATGAAAATAATCAAATTTTATATTTTTATAATAAAAAAAGATAAAATAGCGAAACTGAACACATGAGTAATTCATAAATTCAAGATTAGTGATTTAATTGCGCACTGAATAATAAATTCTTTAAGAAATCTGACGATTCAGAATCAAACTTTGATACTGACTATTTATAGCGATGAACCATCTAAAGAATCAACAGGCAAAATTTGATTGAAATCAACAAAGTAAACATACCAAAATATTAAAGACAGAAATTACCGTATTTTTTCGAATCTAATCCGCACCTTTTTTATAAATTTTATATGCTCTAAAATCAAATGCGGATTACAATTGAGTGTGGATTAGATTCGAGTTATAATGTAAGAATAAATATATAAAAAGATTTATATTTCGAGTAAACACAAGATTTTATTTGAAATAGATGTTGATTAACTCATGTTTATCATATTTATAAAGAAATTGTCTATTATGAGAAGTTTTAGATGTGTAACGTATTTCTTAAACAATCTATCTGTATTATTGACATGAATTTAGAGAAAATGAGAAAGTTTAATCCATTCAACAGCTCTCAAG